ATGTATAGCCTAGCAGAATCCCATTACGGAAATTTAGAGGGGGCGTTTACAATTATGTCCATTATTTTTTATGTTTTTCATGGTTCATTAAATTTCTATATACGTTTTCAAGATGACTGATATTCTAAAGCAGAAATATATAGGGATATATTTAAATATTTATATTAAGTTAAGAAAGTTAAAAAAGTTAAAAAAAAGAGTTTATATAAAATGTAATTTTTGTAATTCATACAACGAAACTAGGGTATTTCCTCAAACTAATGTTCAGATAACTGAATCTAATAGTTATTCTCCTATATATTTTTCCTTACATTATAAAACGATTACTATATAAATACCATGTTATGATTAAATGAAATAAATATAAATACACTCCTGGACAAAATTATCGCACCACGGCTTATTTCTTTAAGAAAATAATAAATATCAATTAAAACAATTAAAATAGGAGTTTATTTTTGCTCGTGCGAAAAACAGAACTGGACAAAAACAATGTTTACATTTTATTTTGGTGTCTAAGGTCAATTTTTTCTGAATTATTGAAATTCCTTATTTTGCATTTTTCCCTACATGTACCTAAGGCGGACAGTTTCAGTAGTACTTCGTACTGTTTCAGGTGATATTAAAAAATTACGATTGTGAAACATAAACCATTCCATCTATTGAGTATGGATAGAGCGTCACGTCATCTGACTGAAAATGAAGCTGTCCAAGCAATACCTTTAGTTGGAGAAGGTCGAAGTTACCGTTATGTGGCTGGCGTTTTAGGCGTGCATCACACAATGGTTATAAGTAGTGTTGGGAAAATTCGAATTAAATAATACGACTAATTCGATACTAAATTAAAACTAACTAATTCGAATTATCTTTTTCGATATATCGAGATAAAAATTAGTAGTATTTTATATTATATCTGTGGTAACCGAATTACAAATGAACATAAAACATAACCTCTTATGGACAAATACGAATATTAGTAATTAGTATAGTACTATTAGTAGTATTCTTTCGTTCTGAACGAACTGAAAATTTTCACTTAAACTGATTTATAAAGGGAATCGGCAAAGAAAGGAACGATCCGATATAGAAAAATCCAGAAATCATTGTTATTTCCTATACCACGTAGGAATAAATCAGTTTAAGTGAAAATTTTCATTTCGTTCAACCAAACCACAAACGAAAGAATACTACCATTATTTGGTTCATTTCCATCTCACCCAAATTTCACCGAACACTAAAATTAATTTTCTTCTTTTATCTAAATAATTATTGATTGCAACTGATAAAATAAAAAGAAATACGAACCGCACGTAAACAAGGACATACTTATATCGTTTTAGAAGAAGCTTTTATTTTAGATATGAGCTTTTCAATAGGAATTGAAACAATCATAAACTCGGCACTTTTAAATTTAAAACTTTAAATTATGGTTTAATTTATTAAACGGCTTCGGCACAGTTAATAGAATACATTGAATAAAGAATATTTTTTTTAATTTTTTATTCAGTGATAGAATATAGGTATGGCAATGGTTCAGATTTGTTTAAAATAGCCCCTAGACGAGCACTAGCTGGGACGAATTTATTTTTAGGTTAAATTTATAATACTACTAAATAATTCGAATTATTAATTCGATTGTGAAATATGAATTATTACTAATTATTCGATGGTGAAAATAATTCGATTATTCCCATCACTAGTTATAAGAGCTGTGCAGCGTTTTCGGGAGACCGGAACTTATACAAGAAGACCAGGACAAGGACGACATAGAACTACTTCTCAAAGAGATGACAATTTTTTGCGCCTCAATGTTCTAAGAAACAGAACATCTACCAGCCGTAGCGTAAACAATTTGATTAAGGGAAGTACGCCATATCAATATTTCAGATCGTACAGTTAGAAGACGCCTCCATGAAGCGAATTTAAGTAACAGAAGGCCGGGCAACTGGACCTCTCCTCAACAGACAACACCGTATCAGTCGTTTAAGATTTGCAAGACAATACTCGGGCTCGAATTTAAATGACTGGAGGCGCGTCTTGTTTACAGACGACACGAGAATTGGATTGCGATCACCAGACGGTCATTGTAGAGTCAGGAGAAGAGACGGTGAACGATATGCCCAAGCATGTATATCTCCAACGAAACTATTTCCTGGAGGAAGTGTTATGTTTTGGGGAGGCATCGCCTAGACCTGCCCTTAATGCACGCAGATATGTGTTGGAGATCCTTGAAGAACATGTAGTTCCATTTGCGCCGTTCATAGAAGCGGATTTTTTACTAATGCATGATAATGCTCGGCCTCACGTGGCTTTGGATGTTATTCAATACCTTAATGACGTGGGAATTACAACTTTAGACTAGCCCCCACGCAGCCCCGACATGAATCCAATAGAACATGTCTGGGACATCTCAAAACGGCGTATTCGGCAAAGAAATCCTCCTCCCCGGATATTAGCTGAACTGGAACAGGCTGCGCGTGAGGAGTGGGAAAACATTCCACAGGAAACTTTTCAAAATTTGATAAGAGGAATGCCACGAAGACTTCAAGCGGTTATTACAGTTAGAGGTGGCAACACACGATACTAATAATGCATTACGGTTGTTCTTGGGATTATTGTTTTTTTTTGTATTGAATTTGAGATTATTAAAAATCTATTTTTTTTCCTAAAAATGCATTTAGTTAGTTAAATCTCGTTTTGTTGAATAGAATATGATTCTTTTTTGCTAATAAATAATGCACTGTTGACAATGTTAAATATTCTATTTATTTACTTCTCTTAAAAAAAGTAAATATCTAAAAGCTAAGTGGTGCGATAATTTTGTCCAGGGGTTCATATCTACCTCAATAAGTGTATCTTTCCGTTTAGATACGACACAGAAAAAAATAGATAATATTTTTATAAGTAGAAATTTTTGAAAAGCGCTACATTCTCAATAGTCAATTATTTGCAAACATTAGAAACAACACTTGAAAATTTAGATACAGGAAAATCAATAAAACTTATCGTGCTGCACGTCATCAAAATAGCTGAAGAAAAAATGCCGTAATTTTGCCACAGCTACTTTTTTACTTTTTCACAAATATCTAATAAAACTCATAATTTTGTCACCGATATTCCATTTCAATTTTAGATACAAAATATACAATAATACAGGGTGAGTCAGAAAAGTGCAAATATTTAAGGGGTAGTATATTTCGACCCCAAAAACACGATGTGTATATATTATTATTAAGTTTTTTTTCGCGAAAAAGAAATTTTGAAATTCTGGAAATATTTTTAGTTTTTTGTTAAAAAATATAATTTCTTGATAATATGACAACATAGGTAGTAGATTAAATTTATAAGAAAGAAAACACAAAAATGACTCAGTGGTTCTCAAAATTAAAGAAAAACATTTTTTTTGCAAATTTTCTGTTTGTTGTTTGCTGAATTTTCTGCAAGTGAAATAACTCGGTTATTTTGAACTTATTTAAAAAACGGTAAAGAGAGTATGTTTCTTTTATCGAGATATACAACGCCTGAAAATATTTGCACTTATTTAAGACTCACCCTGTATTAATATATGAATATTTATTACACAAACGCTAACTTTTGTTGATTTTTGCTGTATATTCTGTTACAATGAAAAAAGTTCCTGAGCATTAAAAAGTTTAATAAAGATTTAATAGTAATCTAAGTAATTTAACGGCCGTTCTAATATTTAGATGGGGATGTTTTTTTTTACAAAAACTAACGGAAGTTATTGAAAACTTAATCATATTGACAGCTGAAAAGTTTCTCAAGTTTTGTTTCAAAATCGCAAATAATCGACAAGATATTTCATATTCAAAATTTAACAAAAAAAAAGTAATAAAGTTACTTCTATAATTGGCAAAAAATACAGTTGGGAAGATCTCTAATTCATTTATCGGGTAATTGAAAGGGGAACCAATATGGTGTACATTATGACTCACCCTGTCTCACCCCTTAGAATAAAAAAGTTTCCACTCAAACTCGCATTTTTTTGTTCAGGATATATTCCCGATAGCTACTTAATAAATTGTTATCTCTGTGTAATTGCTCTAAACTAATATTATATATATATATATATATATATATATATATATATATATATATATATATATATATATATATATATATATATATATATATATATATATATATATATATATATATTATTAATACTGGGTGTTTTTCAAAAGGGACACACCCCCTATATTTTTATGTTAGTATATGACATAAGTCAGGAATGATTGACCTATTTAGTTAGTTTCGGTGACTTCCTGTTTCACAGGAAATGACTACAACCTTTAACCTTTAATTAATTTGATAGAAAATAATATTCTAAATAGAATAGTACAGTAAATAGTATTTTAAATTTCAATCTAGTGTGCCACGACAAGAAATATAACAATTTGAATCAAAATACAAGTATGTGGTACCAAATTATTCGTAGAAAATGCTCTTTCCAAATATGTTAATCAGCCACTCTCGTTTCATTTGGAAAAATGTTTGGAAAAATAAGGTTTGATTAAAAATACGATTTCGGCTCTAATCTATTTTTCCAACGTTCCGTGATTAAAAATTAGTGGTTTTAACACACTCATGGCACTCTAGATTGAAATTTCAGTTCAGTTGTAGTTATTTCCGGTGAAACAGGGAGTGACCAAAACTAATTGAATACATCAACCAATCCTGATTTATATCCAAAATTTAACAAAAAATTACTAACATATCAAATCTGGTCACAGGGAGTGACCAAAACTAACTGAATACATCAACCAATCCCTGATTTATATCCAAAATTTAACAAAAAAACTGAATTACTACTATATCAAATCTCGTTTTTTACCTAAAATTATAGGGGTGAGCCAAGAGAAAAAATATTTATATAATACAAAAATAAATTTTTAAATTGTTTTATCGTATATCCAACATCCCTTATTGGTAGGCCCTTTCTAGCTAAAAATAACTGAATACTAGACAATGAGACCTACCTATGGCTGGAATGAATGTCGGTGGGGTGGTGGACGCTGGCGAGCGACATCTTTGATGGTACTGTAACAATTAAAAAACAACTGTTAATTATTTTGTACCGATTATCATCCGCATGTACCGTTTGTTGTTAACCGCGCTGTTTATGTCATATCCTTTCCAAATAATAACCCGGTTAAAAGATACAGAAGACGCTTGAAAAACATACAAATACAACCTTGAAAATATTATAGTCGCGGTCATGGACAACTTGACTCGTTTTCCGGAAACAGTATTATTAACAGATTTTAAAATCTTGAGTAATAGTAACGGTTATCTTACAAAATCGTAACTTTTCCATTATTTATTATTGTTAAGAAAAAGTTTGAATTTGTCATCTTTATTTTTAAAACAGTGTAGATTTACAAACGTTAAAATCAACAGTTCGACATTAGATCTTTTTTAGAATTATGTCGAAGTTACTAATATTATAATTTAAGACTTGATGTTTCGAATAGTTGAAACCAATGACTAAAGAATATAAGGACATGTAACGCCCCGATACGGGCTGCAGCAGAATTTGTGACCTTAGAGGCCATTCTGTTGATGACAAACAATGAGTCATCATTTGGTCACCAGCGACAATTTTAGCGATTTTTAATAGTTGGTTGTGTGTAGTGAACTTTGTATAAACTTTATTACAATGGTGATTAGTTGTTCAGCTTTCAAGTGTAAAAGCAGCAGCGATAAGAAAAGCCAGGAGTTACGTTTCATAGGTAAATAAACAGTCCACTCCAACTTTTTAGCGTTTTCTTATTGAATTCGATAATTATTCTTCAATTTCAATTAACATCTATATGTACTTGATATGTGCTATACGTCGATACTAGTTTTGTACCTTTTGTTAACATTTTAATACGTTTTTTTCGTAATTAACTAGTATGATACATCATAGGCGTAGTCAAAACAATTATCAGAAAATATAAATATTGCTTCAAACAGCTAGGTTAAGAAAAATATGTGCCACGGCACTGTTTGGTGACATCGGCACAATTTGCTCTCGGGTGTTATTTGTCCTTGGATTCTTTAGTCATTGGTTGAAACCAAATACGTTTAAAATAAAGTATACGGAGGGTACCGCTTAAATTCCTGTCCCGATATTGAAGGATGGCTATAGAATTTCAATGCATTTCCTACATAAGTCTATCCTTGGTTTGTAGGAGATTTGACTAAACAAAGATGAACCTATGTCTTGAAACCATTCGACTCGATTTTCTGTCCTCCTTCAATACTGGGACGTAAATCCTCTCATTGCTCTTATAGGGAGGCCGTCGTATATTTTATTTAAACGTATTTGGTTGAAACACTGATCGTTAGGTTAGGTTAGGTTAGGTTTATAGATTATAGATGCAGTCCATGCAGTCCCTTTAAGTTTCTTTTTCCTCCAATGTGTTCACGAGTTATATCATTTTATATCCGATTTTGTTGCGTCTCCACGTATTGCTATTTTTTGGTGTTGAGTCTAAAGCCTAATTTTACACTTTGTGAAGGTATTAAAATAATAAAGTAAGGTCTGTAATAAATCAGTATTAAAGTGACTAGTAAAATTCATGTGTAAACAGTTGTCTTGTAATAGTTGATAGTGTGCTGATAGTTATAAATGCAAGTGTGAAGTGTAAGTGTGAAGTAATTAGAAAAGATAGGTCTTATATTGGCCATGACTAGCTTTGTTTCAACAAAGTTTAAACCATATTCTAACTTCCATATTTACAGAGTAAATAAAAAATATAATACCTAGTTTTAGCTCGGTAACTTTCCAGGCGGAAACCAACTGAAAGCGGAACTAAAAAACATGGAAGACTCCATCCGTAACCTGGAATGGGAGCCCTCAAACGGTCTAAGACCCTCGAAAAAGTTCCTCAGAACTTACGACCGAGGAAAAAAAAAGATTTTCCTTGATTTAAGTAAAAGCAATCTTCGGATTGCCACGGGGTTTCTAACAGGACACTGTCTCCTCAACGAACACCTCAGTAGGCTGAAGCTGAGAAACAACGGGGAATGCAGTTCTGTGGGGAAAATGGGGAAACACCAGAACACCTTATCACTGAGTGCGCCGAGACCGTTCGTGCCATGAACTTACGTACGGCTGATGTTGAGGATGAAGAGCTGGTCTCTGTGGAGCCGTCTCAGATTGGTCTCAGATACTGGCTTTTGTTAAAGCCCTGAGACTGTATGATGAATTATAACTCGTTATAAGTCAAGAAAGGGGAACACACAATAGATCTGTAAGGTCGCTGTGATTAACTCCCCTCCTAAACATTCTACATTCTATATTCTAGCTCGGTAACGATCAGTGGTTCAGTATATATGTTACGGTTAAAGTCCAATGTCCGGTTAATGTCGACATTAACATGTTAATGTTTGGGTTAGGTTATGTTTTTGGTTGTTTTGTTGTGTGTTATTCTCGAGATTAACCGGGTAATGTCGACATTAACCGAACATCGGACCTTAACCGTAACATATACACACTTTAATAATAAAGGCAAATAAGACAATGCAAGTCCAAAGTTAGAGTTTTAACTAAGTTGAGATCTTACTTTGCCTTTAATCTTCAAATCAATTTATGTCGAAGTTGTTTAAATATATAAATAAATTTATGTATTTGTTCATCAACAATCTAAAGAGAAATCGACATTTCAAAGGTTTCAGTCTCGTCGCTTCTCCGTTTTATCTATTTCATAATAAAGCTCAAAGTTCAAAGTCGGCTAAACAACTTTTTTTTATTATTTTTGTAACAAAGTGGATCTCCGTAATTGTATTAAGAGAGGTAAAAATACTTATCGAATAATTGTCCAGCGTTTGCGTCAGAATATGGGACAGATAGCAAGCAATTCCCGTTTACAATTCATTATTTCATTAATTAGCACCTAATTAGTTCCTCGAATCCCTCAAGTAACAATTAGCAATTCAACTATAATAAACAACAAAAAACTATTATTTTACCTTAATTCAGTAATAGAAGCGACTTTTATGTTTAAACATTAAGAAATGCATCATTAACTATTTTAAATAAAAAAGTCAAGCTCTAATTGAATATAGAATTGGATTTTGGAAAAACACTGGTAGAAACCACTGGTTTGTTTACTACTTAGCTTTTAGTTTTCATGATATTTTTTAATTAAAACAATAATTATATCCACTGTTGTCTAATGATGAAAATTTAAGAAAAATTTCGCAATATAGAGTACCTATACAGTATGTCCAAGAGGAAAAACTTTATTATTATTAACATTTTGAGAAAAACGCATTCTTCATGAAAATTTTTGATTGTTCTAAAATGGTTAACCCTGTTTATACTTTTCCAAATTTCCATACCGTTTTAGAAAAAATTAGAAAAAATATATGGTTGCTGTAGAATACATGTATAATGGACAATTTTCAAAATGGTAAAAAATTCAAAAAGGCAGTGAAAATAACAACAGGCGGTTTATGCCATTCAACGTGTCTCAGAAATCGAGCCCATGACATCTATGTCGGTTTTGCTCTATCTAGTCAGGAAATAGGTTTTCTCTGTTAAAACAGAGCAATTTCGACCACCCGGTACATAGTACATTGCCAGTTAAACCACTAGTGTACCTATCAGAAAAATATACAATGTTCACAACTTAAGAAATAACTGAGATTAGCTAATAACCTCTAACCATCTTAGAGGCAACATGCAATTTATAATAAAATCAATCTGATCATAACCTAGTTTTTTCTCCTCTTTGACCTACGATTAATATTCAATATAAAATGCAAAAAATCAAACACGAGGTTGCTTGTAGGATATTAAGTATGCGATGACCCGCGAGTTCAATAAATCCCGATCAATCATTACCCTTTAGAATGCAAATTGTTATAAAAATAACACAAATAGCTACAGTAACTAACGTGTTGATAACATAAATAAGGAAGCTATTGTGTCTGGCTGTATTAATATTGAAGAACGTCAGGAATGTCAGTGTACTGTTCTAACCTTGAAGAAGGTCTTTGATATTTTGCAAATAAAACCAAATCTACACACGCCGGTAACTATGTCCTGAATTTCTTAATTTTATAAATACCAAAGTACGGATTGTCTGTAAATAATTAAACATAGACTGAGATTAAGCGATTTAAATTAATTAGATGTTTTAAGTAGAATAAGCAAGTCATTGTAATAAAACAATTTAGATAAAATAAAACAATTCATCATAGGTAACTGAAGTTTTTTAGATGCCTTTGTATTATATCCTAACATAAAAAATCCTATGCATGTTTTTAAAGGCCTGTGTATGCTGAAAGCACATGCCAAATTTGAACAATTTTGAGCAAGCCGTTTTTAACCTAATTGAAGAAAAACTGCATCTGTTTTTAAATTAAAACTGAACAAGTAACAATCAAAACCAGGCAAATGCCAACATAGCACCTCAAGTTGTTAACCTATGATTTTGTAATATAAATGTCAAATTGTAATTCCTAAACATTACGATTTTGCCTGTTTGTAACAAATTTTAAATTAAAAAAATGACATACAACAAAGTGACAAAATTATAGGTTGAGGACTTAAGGTACCTATGTTGACATTTGTCATTGTGACCTGTTCAGTTTTAATTTAAAAAAGATGCAGTTTTTCTTAAATTAGTTAAAAACACTTTATCCAAAACTGTTCAAATTTGGCATGTGTATTTAACATACGCACACCTTTAAAAACTTATTAACGAGTTAATAAAATCATCAGGGGAGCCAATATTTAGACAGTTGGGATTTCCTGTTTCCAATGTCGATGCACCATATTACAGTTTGTAATACTTGACTACTTTACAAATATAATTTCAGTTTAATCTGAAGTAATAAGTTAGAGAATAAAAAAGAGCTACAATACTCCAACCTATGATGAAAAAAAGGTTTTTTGAAAGGACCAACTATTCAATTGAGCTGATGACAGAAACAAATATTAAAAAAGGTCTTTCATTTCTTCTATGGTATATTACAATCATATCTAGTCCATCCATCTAAAGATGATGAAATTAAGAGACATTCTAATAATGTATTATTAAATTCTCGCCACTTTATAGGAATGAGGCTATTAAAGTATTCCATCAGTTTTTGTCTTGCTTAAAAGAAAGTTCCACTTTATAGCACAAAGGTGTTAACGTCCGTATAAAGCACAAACCAATTCAAACTGGCCACACACACTCAAAACATGAAAACTTACGTTTCGAATGAGATTTAACTGGCAAGAGCTGAAGAATAATCCACTCAAAACTGAGTTGTCAACTTGGAAGGTGAGTATGGGTTGATAAACTGCACGAGAAATCCGGTCAACAGAGGAAAATACGGCGTTTTACGCGTTAAAATGTAAAAAAAACGAAAGTGGTACAGAACGAATCGATGTATCGAGCGGAGATGTGAAACCGTTGCAGGAACACGAACCGACTGACATATGACTGAGCTCTAAGCAGGACTCAGGACGGTCGACTAGGCGTTTATATACTTGGGTCGCGCGAAGGGGGTAAAGAGGGGCGGACGGCGGCAAAAATCCTCGAAATCTACGCTTGTGACGCTATTTACGTTTGTAATTTGTGATTTATACACATGGTCAAAAGTATTGCACTCGCACATTTAAAATATCGATCTAAATATGACTTTGTTCATATAGTGGAGACTCGCTATACCAGATCAACAAGGTCTGTCTGGCTTATCGGAAAATCCGGATTAACGAAACTATAAAAAGTTGACAATTTAAGCTGTCAAACATTTATTATTCCTACAAAAACGAAAAATAAACACAAGCATATACCGGATGTTGCATCGTCGAGCGGGACATAGGAAATCCCATGTAAATTTTAATGGGGTCAATTATTGGCTTCCCTAATTATTTTAGAGAATAATTCTATTTAGGTTTATTGAAGAGCACTAAAACCCACATTCAAAAGAATAACTTTAGATATTTTTGATTAGCCCATTTACGAGTTATCGCCGATTTCTTTTTAAATATTTCTCCTTTCTTATGGCCCTGTACTTACTTATGAGCACGAGTCAAGGTAAAAGATAACTGTCAAATGAAGTTGTCATTTCAGAAATGTATCTATTTAGTGCTTTATTATTATTAAAAACTCATACCTACATCGAAAATATTAGCCATGAATTACACTACCGAAGAAAAAGTATTGATGATTAAATGGTATTATCAAGGAAATAGTTATCAAAAGGTGTCGGACATGTTTGCTGCTCTATATCCGAATAGACCGATACCTGGAAAATCTACAATCGCAAGGAATATCTAGAGATTTGAGACCAAAGGTACCCTAATAAATAACTGCAGATGTCAAGCAAGGCAGGAACAAAGAGAAGATGCAAGAAATTATATCGACTTGGAAGTTTTATTGTGCGTGGAAGAGAACGATGGAAAGATCAGCACAAGGAAACTTGAGGATAAAATAGGAATAGGGCTCTGGTGCACAATAGGTCCCCACGCATTTAACACTTTTTTGGGATTTTTTTGCAAGATTATCTTAAACTGAATATTTTTAAGCATAAAAATTGTTGGATGAATGTGTTTTATCTTTAAAAAGCGGCAAAAAAAACGTATTTTAGGTACAGGCGACGGACAGTAAATATGTTAAATTTTCTACACGGATTCAGTAAAAACATCACATATTAGTACTTTATTACCTTATATAGACGTGGAATGATCTAATTTAAGCACAAAAATGTAACGAATCTTCTTTGTAAGCATAAAAATTAAGAAAATATATTTATTTACATCAGCTCAAGCTAGCAATTTTATGACTTTTTCGATTGACAGTTAATCGATCATCGGTATGTCATCTATGGCCTTCGCATAGAATTTGCGACGTTGTCAATAAAATTACTTTATATGATTTTCTTCTGAAATAAAGTTGTTGTGGAGGGACTTAAAACGGTAAGTTATCACTTTAGTGCAACAAAAATTGAACTGTCTAGTAGCTTATTCGTTAGTGTGGATTATTTTAAAGCAATTTCTGAAATAAAATTTGCGGATTTTTCAGGTTCTACGAAAATATAAGTTTTTTTAATATATACTGTTTTTCGACGCGTAATCAATGAAGTTTTGTCATTAGGCTCAATTAGGTTAGCCTGGTTATTTGGAAGGTGGTAATGCATTGGTTAGCCTGGTTATTTGGAGGGTGTTAATGCAATGGTTAGCCTGGTTATTTGGAGGGTGGTAATGCATTGGTTAGCCTGGTTATTTGGAGGGTGTTAATGCATTGGTTAGCCTGGTTATTTGGGGGTGTTAATGCATTGGTTAGCCTGGTTATTTGGAGGGTGGTAATGCATTGGTTAGCATGGTTATTTGGAGGGTGTTAATGCATTGGTTAGCCTGGTTATTTGGGGGTGTTAATGCATTGGTTAGGTTAGGTTGATAGGCTGGTTATTTGGAGGGTGGTAATGCATTGGTTAGCCTGATTATTTGGAGGGTGTTAATGCATTGGTTAGCCTGGTGATTTGGAGGGTGTTAATGCATTGGTTAGCCTGGTTATTTGGGGGTGTTAATGCATTGGTTAGGTTAGGTTAGATATTCTGGTTATTTGGAGGGTGGTAATGCATTGGTTAGTCTGGTTATTTGGAGGGTGTTAATGCATTGGTTAGCCTAAGTTATTTGGGGGTGTTAATGCATTGGTTAGGTTAGGTTGGTGGGGAGTGTTTGGAAGTACGCAGATCACATCGATTTCGGAATCTTACTGAACAAATCCGGGAAAATATATTTTTAAACAATTGTGCTAAATACTGTGTAATGATTTTATTGTCAATTTATTTTTATAGTGTTTTTGTTTTGCCTCGTTTATTATATTTTTAATTTTTCGTGTTCTTAAAGTGCGTACTAAATGTAAAAAAAATGAATATAAAGTAGAACGTTTTCGTCGATTTTACACAGGGTGAGTATGGCAACACTGTGCATAACCTTGTATTTTACTGTCTTTATGAAGGTTATAATAGGGAGTTTTCGCATTGAAATGCAGTGAAAATTTGGAATTTTCAATTATTTTTTTTCGTAGAAAAAGTGGTTCATCCAACAATTTTTTTCTTTTAAACCATTCCATTAACTATGGGATCCACATTAAAAATTAAAAAAACCACGATTTCGTGGGGACCTGTTCTGCACAAGACCCTAGGAATAGATCACACTACAGCGTTTCGAACGACATAAATACTATTCCTTCAAATATGAAAAGCACCAAGAGCTACGAGATGGGGACGAAATACAGCGGCAGGCGTTTTGTTTTGATATGATGGAAAGAGCAAACACGGATAGGGATTTTATTAAAAAACATGTCCCGATTTCCTATGTCCCATCCGACGATGCAACACCCGATATGTATAGATGATATTGGTAAGATGCAAACTGGTAGTAGAAACCAAAATTATTGAGCAAGTGTAACAGTTCAGATACCTAGGAATAGATATGTCGCACTACCATGATCCAGAGAAAGATCTGAGAAGCCAGATAAAAAGAGCAACGGCCATGTCAGGATGTCTGGGACAAATAGTGTGGATAAGCCCCTTCATGCAAACAGACAGCAAAATTAAAATTTATAAGACCTGCATCAGACCAATAATGACATATGGCATAGAAATCCAAGAGGAAACAAACAAGACCAAAAGCATGTTAAGAGTCGCTGAAATGAAGAACCTAAGAACTATAATGGGGAAGACTAAGAGACAGAATTAGAAACACAGATATCAGACTACAATGTGGAATAGTAGGTATAGAGAGTATAGAGTTTATCCTGTTTTATGTCCAATACTTGCCACTTTAATTGCAACATTTTCTCTATTAGAGTCTTTTCCTTTCTTTCCATTTCTCCATTTCTTATTTAATCCCTCATTTGTTTCTGCATTACATTGCATAACTTATTGGTACTTTTCTATGGGTAACTGTTTGTAGTAGAGAAAACATATACATATAATACGTAAGATCCTAATATCACAAACTACTCATACCTGCCTAGATATTCGTTTTGTAATAAGTGGGGCTATGAGCTCCACTGAAACTTCATTTTGAAACACGATGGAGACTGGTGCTCTAACTGCTGGCATACGTTTGAAAATATGCGCAGCAGGTGAAACGCAAATGCTCCAAAACAAACGAACATGACAAGCTAGAACTGAATAAAATATATGCTAATCATATGATATATAATACAAAAAAAAACGGAGATAGAGTTGACTTGGAATAAAGATCGCTTTTTACATTTAATATAGACAACATGGTCATTTCCAAACAAACTTTTTTTGCCATACTCTTCTCAGGCATTGTCAAACAAAACAAAAATATATTCTAAAATGTGAAATGGTAAAAGTAATTTTATTTATTATTAACGGTTAACTAATTGTCTAACTCTAAAAGTAGAGACGCTGAGAACACAGAATATACTATAGCGACGCAACAGAAACCTCCTTACATGTATATAAAATTGTAGGTAGCAAATAAAAGCCAAAGACAAGCTTTTAAAGCATGTCTCCAAATCAGATAATTTGATGCGATAGTTTCGCTACTACATAATACAGAGCGATAAATTTAAAATAATTTTGTGCAGTGTTCAAATTTGCTACATTATTTAAACATATTAAAATAGATCAGAGCTTTTTTCCAAACATTTAAGTATTTAACTTGCCATGTTAGTTGGAGTTAAATCTTACGAGCTGAATTACAATCACTTCCTGACGTTTGATTGGGCTCAATTTTGGTATACTTACGTATCTTCGGCGATAATATAATAAGTATTGTTCTACTATGAAGTATTTAAAGTAGTCCAATAATATAGTGCCATATTTATGGTACCACTTCCTGGTATTCGATTGGGCTGAAATTTGATATATACTTTGTGTATATTTTCTGTGCTGAGAGGCAATGTGGCATAATCTAAATCAAGTTGTCCAAGAGACACTAAAGAGTTTTGCCTTCCAATGCATAGTGATATTAAACTGCTTTTTAATATGTGTCTACCCATTTCTATAATGCACTGTAAAAAATCAGCCTGAGTGAACACATATTTCTCAGGGAGTGAATTTTTTGAGTGAAATAATTGAGTACATTTTTATCTAAAATAGAGTAAATTCATCATTTTACTCAAATATGATCTCTATTTAATCAATAGCTATTGAATAAGCTCATGTTCGAGTTATAACCCCTATCTTTGAGTAATGGAATAGAAAAATTAACTTAAAAACTCATGTTATAGTTTTACACAATAAAAATTTGAGTGAAATCACCCAGTTTAGAGTATTTTCGCTCATTACTAATCATACGTCATACGCGCTTCTTCGATACCGAATAAGCTATTTCCCTGTTCCTCAGTTTTTAATTATCTGTTCGAGTCGTAGGTTGTCTTGTTCCTTCGAAGGTGCCCAGGTTACAAGTCCATGTGTATGTGTGTGTGATGTAAAGTGTGACAGTGGCCGCGTGGCGTGGTGAAGCGAATACGAA